GGTTTAGGGTTGATGGTTTAGAGTTTATAGGGTTATGTCCCTAAACCCTAAACCCTACCCTAACTAAACCCTAAGATATCTTCAATATGGTTGGGGCTTCAGGATTCAGGATTTAGGCTCTTCGAGGTGAAAGAAGATCACTTGTAGGCCACCATCCTTTTGAAAGGGACTCTCTGGGTTCCATGGTGTCTCCTAGAAAACCTTTAACCCCGAAATCATCCCCGCGATGTAGGGATTAGTGCTGAGCGTCTACTGCCTACTGTTCATGGCTTGCGGCTTCGGTCTACAAAAACAACATCACTTTACTCTACTTAGTAGAATTCGAATATTTTGGGTCATGCATGCCTGAAGTGAAAGCAGTTGCATAGTTGCTGCAAAGCATGGGGAAGGAGATGATTACCCTTGCCCCCCAAACTAGTAGGGAATCCGGAAAAATGACATACTAACACTACAGTCCTTCCTGGACGTTGGACGGGTTCCATGGCTGTTATTTTGGGGAAGGTGTTAACGTGTTGTATTAACCTTCAAAGGCCTGCATGATGGACGGGTGCACCGCACCGGCCAACATGAGATCAAACCTGTCAGCGCCGCGACAATTTGAGAGTTTCTCAACATGGGAGGCCCCTTCGGGACCCTGGAGATTGTAGGGGGAGATTCTGGGGTCCCAATTAAAAATGCAGGATTCTATGGGGAATGCTTTGAGAAACACCAGTTTGTAGCATTACCAGGATCAGTTTCCCGCGTGACCCCAGACTTAGCATGCCAGTTCAGTAGGTGTTTCCAGGCTGCGTGCACTGCCCGGTCACCACAGACTGTCTCAACCTGCATGATCGTAGAGGTCACTGCCTAGATTTTCACAATTCCCATTTTTTAAAAAATCAAACCACGTTGGACCCAAAACCCTAAGCCCTAAACTCTAAAAATCCACAAGTGGGGATGAGGTAGTTGCACCTTGCCCTTGTCTCAACATCCCCTGAGAATTCGGTGACTCAACTGAAGCTCTAGAACCTAGCCAGGTGCACCGAGGACCTTCCTAAACCCCTAAACCCTACGTAAACCCTGTCTAGGGTTTAAGGTTTAGCGCTTACGGTAACCCAGGGGCTCTGAAAGCGTCTTCCCTGTCTGGGAGCCCCTGGCACAGACTACTATTCCTATTTACTATCACTATTGCCCTATTACTATTAGTGTTTACTATTACTATTTACTATTTGCTATTGCTATTACGAAGTACTGTTACCAAACCCTAAACCCTAGTACTATGACAACCACGTTACGAATCAAGTGAGCCGGCAGGGCAGTTCAAAGTCTGGGTCGTCCCTGTAGGCCTGCTTTTATAGATCTTGAAAGAGCAACATGGCGTGATGCTTGCTGATTAGGGATATAACATTGAGGACTAAAACGGGGGTTATATAGGACTTACGCTTTAGGTATTAGGGCTTGGTGTGTCGGGTCGAGATTCTCATACACCCTCAGGGCTTCGGGTTAAGAGTTGAGGGACTGGGAGGAGTAGAGGGTAGTTGGGGGTGGACATGTGGAGGAGGTGTAAGGTTCTGAATGTCCTGCCACAGTAGGACCTTTCTTGCAGCATCCGCAACAGCACACCCCATGCAGACTTCAAACTTCAAATCACGCCTACAGAGGAACCCAAGGAAAAGGTGTGTAAACTCATGTATTGCAACAATACGATATACAATTGTTATGACAACATACCTTGACGTACTGAACAGCAACCCAGACCAGAGTATCGTAAGGGCACTGGGTAGTCAAAAGGGGGTTTATTCATCAGGGGTCTGGGTTACTGTTATGTTTCCAAGGATTGGGGGGTCATCGTATTTTGGGGTGTATGCGAGCACGATTCTGGGAAACACCCACACATAATCCGTTAGTTCTTGAGAGACACTGGGCTTTCGCGGAATCGCACTTCCCAGTGATTTCAGGGTTGCCAAGCCCACTTTTCTCCACCAGTGGCCCCTCTCAATCCGGAGGCGGAGGCGGAGGCTCCAGCGGCGTGCCAAGCTCATCGACCTTACAGGTCGTGGTAGCAATGGGTTTAGGGATTTAAGGAACTGACATTATGTTACCATAATGGATATACATGTATATACAGTAAATACTAGGGTTTCCCCAATAATAGAATATTGTAAATTAAGTTCCTTAACAGCAGCCCCAATAAGGGGCGGGGTTTGGGATTATAGCTGGGGATGGCAAAAAAAATGCGACAACATCTCAATCTCCTCAAGGCCGTGTCGAAAAGTCAAGACCCCAACCTACAGGCCTTTGGGTTTGGGATTTGGAGTTTGGGGCATAGGATATATGTGTGGTTCTTAGGTTTAGGGTCCAGCCCTTAACCTGCAGACCAAGAGATATCCTTGATATCCTCAAGGCTACGTAACATTGATCCGTACAGACTCCCTAAGGGGGGTACACCTTCTCTGCAGTCCCTCTCCATAGCAGGGTCCCAAAATTAGGGTACCCTTTTGGGGGTTCCCATTATAAGGATTCTTGTGTTTGAAAGTCTATATAAGGGTCCCCTACTCATGGAAACTGCCATGTTTTCAGGGATAATGCAGACCCATGATGAATAAACCCCCTCCCATGAATGGGGATTATAATAGGGATCCTAACACTAAGGCCCTGAAAAGGGGGTTGTTAATCAGCGGTCTACGTTATTCATCCCCCTTGTGAAAACTTCCCATTTACCCTAAACCCCTAAACCCTAAATTCCCTAAATTATCCCCCTTGTGAAAACTTCCCATTTCTCACAGCGCTCACCTGGAACCCGGCATCTGGAGGCTGCGAGGGCCGATAACCGGAGCCCTCCTCGCATTCTCGAAAAACGGGGTCCCTCACAGCCTTACTCATTGCGTTAAAGGAATCCTCATTTTGGGAAGCTTCACATGAGGAGAACAGGCAAGGTTTGTGCTCCAGATCTGGAGCTGCCTGGCATTAAACTAAATTGCTATTAAGGAACCTACATTCAAATACTATAATATGGGCATATTGTAAATCATAAGCCTTTCTCATTACTGTAACTGAGCTTAAAGTCTTCAACAGGAACCCAGAAAGTTCATTGGAGTCCAAAGTAAACAAATCTTTGCCCGAGCGACTACGGGCTACGGCTGCAGGTTTAAAATTTCGTCTTCGGGGTTACGAGGGCCAATTCCCTGTGAAACTGCTGAACCCCATTGACTGGAAACCTCGGACCCTAAACCCTCAGAATGTACTACAGGAATGTACTACAGGGGCCTAAATAATTACCAATATCATTTGAGGTCCGTTTGAGGTATCATGGACCATAATTACATTAGGAATTTGGAAGCATAATATTGGTCTCTTCCGTCGCGCAAACATTTTGGCCGCACCTGTGTTGTTTTAAAAATCGCGCTCTCGCTCGAGACATCCTCAAAAAATGGACGTTTTTTTATATCGATGATGGATCCAACAAAGAGGCCAGATCGCCTTTGAAGTAGTCTTGCTAAAGAAGGGCGACAAGCGGTATGGCCACCCCCCTGATTCTCAAAAAATCGCGCTCCCGCTAAACACATCCTCAAAATTTTGCATTTTTTTGGATTTTATGAATTATCAAAAATGCGCTCCCACGCGAGACAATTCGATTTTTCGAGCCTCTGAACATCTTTGTTTCTTCTAAAATCGCGCTCTCGCTCGAGACATCCTCAGAACATGAACGTTTTTATATCGACGATGGATCCAAGAAAGAGGCCAGACTGCCTTTAATGTAGTCTTGCTAGCGGGGGGTCAAGATCGGTATGGCGGCGCTGCGATTTTTGAAAATCGCGCTCCCGCGCGCGACATCCTCAAACTTCCGGACTTTGGGTTTTCAAAAGTTGCGCTCTCGCGCGAGACAATTCGATTATCCCCCTTCAGATTCACAGGTGACCTCAAGCCCCCCCCATTCTGTGATACAAAATGGGGGGGAAACCATTTGCTCCCTTATAGAATCATTTTGGTTATATGTTGTGGAGGGGGGGGCGTCATTTCATAGAAAAGTAAAATCTCAAGTCGCATACCATAAAACGAGGGGTACGACCATGTGCATTTGTTATTAAATTTGTACATTTTGACGTCCCCGACGTCACAACATAGGATGTGTTCTTTTCTTTTTTTGGTTAATGATTGTTCAGCTGCAGGGAGTTCGTAGAGTTTAGGATGCTTGAAGTATCGCATTTGAAGGGCTGATCCACCATTACTGGTATTTTGCATTTCGCGAACGTTTTGCGCGGGGGAGCAGAGCCGGAGTTTACATGTTTTATTGAGGATATGGGGCACGCGCCGGGTACCATATCCCCGGCCCAACTTTGGTATGTCTTTGCCGGAAAATTTCCGCTTTATGAACACACGTGCCGACACCCCCCCATTTCATAAGCGCACACCTTTGTTTTTTTTATGAGATTGGGGGCTTGACCCTTTTGGACAATCCCTGCATTTATGAGGTGACCTCTGGACACGTCATTCTATATAAAAATTCCGTTTTATGAAGGAGGTCAACCTCACCCACTTCATAGTGAGGAATCTGAAGGGGGATATTCGATTCTTTTGACGTTTTGATCATTTTTATATCGTCAAAAATCGCGCTCTCGCTCGGGACATCCTCAAAATTTCGTCGATTTATCTTCATCTAAATCGGTCAAAATTGCGCTCCCGTGCGGAGCACTCGGAAAATTGTGATGACTTGTGAACGACTTTGTGGAGAGTTTCTATACCAATCCTATACCAAATGGACGTCCTTCGAGGTCACTTTAGGGGGGGGGCATGGTGCCTGTTCGAGAAGCAACCTTCTTATTGTTTTTCAGTTCCAGAGGTGGCGGCTCAATTCGGGGATGTTTTTTCCTTTTCCGACTTCTGGTCGTTTGGGGCAGATGATCAAGGTCGCGGTGCTGCGGTGGCTTCGGCAGCCCTGAGTGGTGACTTGGAGAGGCTGAAGGACATCTTCG